CTTGGAAATGCAAATAGTACTCTGGCAGCACAGCGCACACTTCACAGGCTCTCTCTGTCCTATGGCACGCTCACTCCAGACCCGTCGCCATCTTGCTCCCTCCCTTGCTTTGTTCTTAACATGAAACTTTCTTTAGGACAAAACTGTAATTTCTTGGTTTTCTGATAGCAAATTGTCTTCGTGAATTTAAGGCTCCAATGTTATGCTAATGATTATTCCTGAAACCATTCCAAAAACTCTCTGTCTTTCTGCTGGTATCATTTTTCTTTCTATCACCTTTTGTATGCACCATTACTCATCTTCCTGTGAATTTATAGCCTTGATTTTTATTGTAATTTTCTTTGCTTACCTGTCTATTCTAGCCAGGATAATAGATACTGGTTTGATGTAGGTGATTTTCAGGGCTGGGTTATGGCTGAGAACAAATGTTTGTTATTTCTTGGTGTGATGTTGAGGTTAAAGCTACCTGTAACAGCCTCCTTGTTACCTGGTTGTGACTTTCTGTCTCTTATTTCCAAGTGGGATTCAGGATGTGGAGCTGTCACTATTTTATAGATTCTCAGGATGTTTTGATCATCAAGGGGAAGGACAAAAATTACCTACAGAAGTGCAACTCAGTACCATAAAAGCCTAACGCTTTATCTAGCACAGAAGGTTTTTAAAACAGTCAGTGTTTGTGAAACTGAGGTGTTCTGCTTTTTCTTTTCCAGCTCACATCCCAGCATCCTTACGCTGAAGTTTTCATTGGTCGGCCCCACGTTTGGACTGTTGACCTCAACAATCAGGAGGAAGTAGAGGATGCAGTGAAAGCAATTTTAAATCAGAAGGTGGTTCTTTTTATTTGATTTCCCCCATTTGTAAAGTGAGCTGGAATGTGTGGAAAGCATCCTAGATCCCTGGTTTTAGTAAGTGGAGCTTTTCCACATCAACTTACCACTGGAGTTAGAACACAGCCAAGCTGTAGGAGTCGGCCTGGGGTGTCTGTGGGTGTTCTGTGAGATGGAAACAGCTGGTGTCCAAATGGGGGCATGGATTCCACAGACTTCTGACATGGCTCCTGGGTCCCAGGCATAGGAGTAGGAGCTTGAATTATACTTGCTTCAGTGATGTGGTTATGTTACTCTCACAGAGATCTGAAAAGATAGGACTGTTCGTCCTACAAAAGTAGAGATAGGGATAAGGAGTAACTAAGGAAACAGTGGGGAATGTTTTCACAGAGTATCTGCTTATTTGGTTTTTCTATCCAAACATTTTGTAGAATTTTGTAGAAGTAACTAACTCAATTCGGCAGACATGTATTAAGTACCTGCTGTATACAGAGCACCCTCTGAGCCACTGTGTGTGTGTGGTGGAGCAGGTTTACTTCCACAAACATAGATGAGGCTGGCTCCTCGCCTGTGGAAGGTTTACCATCCAGTAGGGATGAGTTCAGTTATCCTCTCTCCCAACCCTGAGACTGCCTGGGACTCTCGCAGCTGCACCTGTCCTATACGTCTCCCCTCAGGGCACTATGTACAGCCCATTGTATTGTTTTAGGAAAAGCCATAGAGGTGTGCTGGGAGGGCAGGCTGGACTCAAACAGTCTGGGTTTGGGTTCCAGCTTTACCACCTACTAGCAGCATCCGCTCACCTATAATGCAGGGTGAATATTACCTACCTTACTGGTCACTTGTGAGGACCAGAGAGATCAAATGTATATAAAGTGCTTAAGTACAGTGTCTACCACATAGTAAGTGTTCAGTTATTATTATTTATTCTTTTTTTTCTTATTGATAGTCTGAGTTTCCGCTAGTCTATAAGCAACATGGGGGCAGGAAATATATGTCTTGCTGTTGCAGTGAGTAACTGTGAACTCGCAGGGAGAGGCAGAAAAAACCAAGGATTAAAACAGGAAAACAGAGTTTATTGAAATGCTGGCATTTGGCCCAAAAGGACTCATGTCCAAAGTTTTCAGCACCCCAATGCAGTGGGGCAGTTATTTTTATATCATAGCATTTCCGGGTTTTTGTAACCAAGCAAGAGCAGTGAACTTATGATCTCATGTGGTTATGATTCTGTCTCAGGGTGGAAAAGTATAGCGGGTGGGAAGCAGGCTGAAAAATTCTGTTTTAGCAGTGTGTATAACCACAGGGAGAGAACAAGGGGGCCTGCTGCTGCAGCGGGGTATCATCTAGTCTGTGACAACCACAGGGCGAGAGAAGGCAGGGCTGCATGACATCCGGGCGGGGGTCCTGGTTACAGCATAGTGTGGCACAGCATGGATGCCTAATGGCCACAGCCGGGCTGGACACAGCTGGGTGTCAGTGCCTTATCACTACTGTATTCCCAGTACTCATATAGTGATCTACCTGATGGATGGGAGGGAGGGGGAGAGGCATAGATATTTGGGAATAAGCATAATACAAGTCAGAATACGTTTAGTGCCAAAAGCAATATGTAAAACTAGGAATGGAAGTGGGGAAGGTTTTCTGGAGAATGCAGCATTTGAGTTCAGTCTTATAGGGTGAGTAGGAATTTGTAAAGCAAAGCTAAGTGGGCGCCCAGAAGGGCATGGGTTCAAGTGTGAGTAAAGGGGAAGAGGCTGGAAAGCCACATATCCTGGGAGGAATAGCCAATTTGCCCAAATGAAGGCCATCTTGCCCCTTCGGGAAATGGAATGGCGTTATCAATTTGTGGCCCACTGATTTGCCGATTTCAATTAATTTGGAACATTCTCAGGAGAGCAAGAGCACTCTGTTGTGTTATCCAGGCCCAACCCCCTTAAAAATGGTCTGCTTGTCAGTCTTTGGTGTAGCTGTCAGCTTCCCATTGATGACGTGTACAGTCCCAATCCCCATCTCAACAGCTGAGGGCAGAGTGCCCCAACCGCAGGTGACCGAGCTGAGAGAAGTAGCGAGTGGAGTGTGGTCTCGCTGGGCTGCCTCAGAACACCTGCCTCACATCTGCACTTCACCACCAGAGTCATCCCTGTGCAGATCAAAGGCTCTTCTTTCTCAAGTCTCTGAGACCCTTGGTGTATTAGTGTCCTAGGGTTGCCATAGCAAAGTACCATAAACTAGGTGGCTTAAAACAACAAAAATGCATTCTCTCATGGTTCTCGAGGCTCTAAGTTCAAACTCAAAATGTAAGCAGGGGCATGTTCCTCCTTCCACTGGAAGTCTCCAGTGGATCCTCTCCTTGCCTCTTCCCGCTTCTGGTAGCCCCAGGTGTTCCCTGATTTACACCCTCAGAGCATTATTCTCTGCCTCCTGGTCATGTGGCTTGTCTCTGTCTTCTCTTCCTTTGTTGGATTAGGACCCGCCCTGATTCAGTATGACCTCATCTTAACTTGATTACATCTGCTTATTGCCATATTTCCGAAAAAGTCACATTCACAGGTACTGGGGGTTAGGACTTGAACATATCTTTTGAGTGCACACAATACAACCCATGACACTTAGTGAAGTACACATGTCCTTGAGGAGGAGTGATTTAAAAGCTGAGGTAGAGGCAGAAAACCTTAAATCAGGGAGTCCAGAACTTTTTAGGCAGTAGATCTCTTCTGTGAAACAGAAATCTAACAGGAATGCCTGATACACAAAACATTGAGGGTGGGGCACTGAGTTGTCTGCTCACTCCCACGTGAGGCTTCATTGAACCTTTAATGTTCCACAGTTTAAAACTGTGATCAACCTTATCCCACCTTATTCCCAAAACTACTTAAGGCCACTTAAAAAAAATTTTTTTTATAACCGTAGCTTACGTGTAGAGAGAGACTGTTTACCTCATTTAATCCATCTATAATTTTATGGGGTAGAACTGTTTTTACTGTTTTATAGATAAGAAAATTAAGGCTTAAAGAAGGTAAGTGATTTACCCAAGATCACATAACTACTAACTAGTGTAACCTGGATTCAAATTCAGGTCTCTGATTAATTTTTTAAGGTGAGGTAAAGTTTAAAAAGAAAAGCATGAAAGTAAAATAAAAGAGAAATGGAGTAAGGAATGAGAATACAAAAACTATTGTCTTAAAAATCCTTATACTTCCTAGAAATAGGTTAGAAATTTGGTGCTAAGCTTTCTCATATTTAATTCTAAGATTTTAGATTACATGACAAAAAAAATCCATTATTAAGAAAGGAAACCATCAATAAAACCAGATCTAAAGATGGCTCAGGTGTTGAGATTATCAGGCAACAACTTTAAAATGCTATGATAAATGTATTAAAAGGTTTGGCAAAAAGGTAGACAACATTTGTGAACAGATGGGAAATTTCAGCAGAGAGAGGAAAACTATTTTTTAAGCGGAATGAAAAAATACTAGAAATGAAAAATATAAGAAATGAAGAATTCTTCCAGTGGGCTTATTAGTAGACTTTAAACACTAGAGAGAAAAAAATCAGTGAACTTGAATACTTGTCAAATTGAACCACAAAGAGAATAGAGAATGAAATAATAAAGAGCCTATGAGATTTCTGGGACAATATCAAGCAACCTAACTTATGTGTAATTGGAAAGATAAAGGCTAAGAATTTTCAAATTAATAAATAACACCACTCTACAGATCTTAAGAGTTTGGTGACCCCAGGAAGGATAAATACAAGGAAAAAAACACCCAGATACATTGTAACCAAACTGCTGAAAAGCAAAGGTAATGAAAAAAATCTTGAAAGCAGCAGAGAAATTTATTACATTTAGGGAAATAATGACATTAAAGACAGCCAACTTCTCATCAGAGATAATGAAGACCTTAATAGGGTCCCCCAGAGCCAGAACATGTAAGGCCTTTAAATAGGGCATGATACTGGATTTTGTAAGTATGATGGGAAGTTTTGAACAGGGGAATGACATGACCTAGTTTACATTTGGAATCATCCATAAAAATTACAGGACCAGCCTAACTCAAAATCCTATGGTTAGTAAGTAGAGGAGCCAGGACTCCAACCCTGGTCTTCTGGTACCTTCCAAGACCATCTGTCATTGAATGGTGCCAAGCCACCTCTGTCAGGTCAGACCATGGAGGCTTTCTCATGGAAGTTGATCTCCGAGAGCAGTTGCCTGTAGGATTTGTACTCTGATGTGGAAAGGTGAGTATTAGTGGAGACAGGAAATATCATAAGAAGGGAGGTCAAGAAGAGAAAATGGAGGGGAAGACGGGAAGATAATGCAGTGTCCAAGACCAGCAGGAACTCCACAGTGCAGCCTGCAGGCATCCTTCCTGTGGCCCTGGCCAAATGAGTAACAGTTCTTTTCCCACAAAGCAGGCTGACCAAGAATACTCCCTTGCTTCTCCACAGCTGCCCTGCTTGGGTTTCTCAGTGAGTGGATGTGGTTTCAGCATTCTTTTTCATTCTCCAACCCCCAAAGGTCTTGACTTGTTCCTGAAGGATTGTTACATGCCCCAGTGTTCCTTATCCACAAAGCCAGGGGTCTGAAGAGCTTTTCCCTGTGGAGGACCCTGCTCCCATCCACAGCAGGATAGTTCGAGACCTCACTGGCAGAGGTGGCCTAAGAATACAATTTCCTTTTAAAACCTTTTTTTTTTTTTTCTTTCCTTTATAGGAAAATTGTTCTGTTTCATATCCTTTAAAATAGTGGACTGGCCCCAAAACAATGAATGAGTCTACATCCTTTTGGTTAAACAGCTTGTTTGGTAGAACAGAGGAAGAGCCATCTTTTTGTATTTACTGTGTGGAGCCCTTTGAATTAATTCACTTCGCTTCCTAATGGATGTTCTTTGGAGTGTGACGTAGGAATGGCCCCTGGGCATTGAGCCTGCTTCCCGCTACATAACTGGATCTGTCAGTCTCATGTCAGATGGCCACTGACGTTCGTTTATTTCTCTCTAGAAATTCTACCCATCCACTTATAAATGAATGCAGACGTGTCATGTAGTCTATCTTAGGTTTGGGGTTTTTTTCCCCTTCTATGAACCTTTGAGAGGAGACTTATCTCTAGGCCAGTTATAGAAAGCTTCTGAAATCAGTCATAGGGTGAATAAATAAATATCCTTAAAAAAATTTTTTTTTTTTTTTTTGTGCATTTTCAAGTTGACATACAAGTCAACCTGGTCTGTTGACTTCCAAGTCCATAGTGTAAAGGGCTAAGTCTGGGTCAGAGAGGATGCAGCAAGTTCAAAAGCTTGAGATGAGAAGGAACAAGCTGAGAACAGGACAGTCAGTTCTTCAGAGTACTCTGAGTTCTTTGAATATAAGCTATCTAGGAATAGAGTGTCCTCTTTTCTTGCAGAATAGTCTGCCGTAATATTACAGTATTTATGGCTCAGCCCCTTTTTGGCTGTGTCCAGATGGATGTGGGCAGGTATGGCCAAGATCCAGCCTGTGTGATGAACCATCTAGTTGTACGTTTGAAGATATATTAGAAAATTTTTTAAAATTATGGTTAAAGAAGATTTCAAATGTAATGTGTGATGCAACACACAAGAAAAGTGGGGAGGATGCTCTGAGACCAACTGCTTGGCTGTGCACTGAGGAGTGTTCTGTCAGTTGTCCCATTTTCAGGGAGCCTCAGCTTGTAGATGGTTTGTCCAGTTCTCCACCCTATAGATTCCACATAGGCAAGTGTGGACCTAAGAGGCAGCTGGTGAGGGTGTTTCTCTACCCTTTTGCTGAGAGGTGCCATTTGGCTCTGTGAAGCTGTAACATACTGGATCACAAGTGATTTTCTCTCAAATAAAATTTCCATTATGAATTGGTATGCCCCTGAAAACACAGGCCGCGTATTGTTGGCAAACACTGTGCAGCAGAGATCAAATCCCTCATTTCTTCCCTTTCCCTCTGGTGTCATAATATTGATCAGGTTGCCTCCCCTACCCCAATGAAACACCTTCTAGGGATTCCTCCTCCCCTCAAATAAAGTCTAGGCTCCTTAGTATAGAAATCTCAGGGATTTTGAGGAATCCAGTGAACTTTCTCCCAATTGTGTCTCCCCAGCCTCTGTGATCCTTGAGCTCCAGCCTCCTGCTGTCCTTTAATGTCAGATGTCACACTGCTTCCTTCTCCTGGAATGTCTTCCAAATCTTGCCCCTCTCTAGTCTTGGCTTGCTAGAACCATAGCTGGCCTTAAAAGCCCAGTATGATCATAAGTCTCCTTTGACCTCTGGCCTCCCAGGACCTTGTAGCTAAACTCTTTGTGGCACTTTATCCCTCTGTTTTAGTACCATGAATTCTTGGGTACACATTAACCTCACCTACTAATGCAGACTGATGCTTTTGTCACCCCGTCAGAGCGGGGACCATGCATTCATTTAACAGATGTTTGCTAAGTCCATACATGTGCCTTACTGCTCAACACTAGGATATAAAGATGAGCCAACAGCCATGAACCCTGCCCCATGGAGCTTACCTTCTTAGCAGGTGATAATCGCCACCTTTTGTTTTACTTTTTTTTTTTACCCATATAGTCTTTATCACAGCTAAAGAGGTGGGATTTTCTTATCACCCTTTCACACATGAGGTACCTAAGATTTAGACACGGTAGGTGTTTTGCTGAGGGTCCCCTACCTAGGAAGGAACAGAGTGAGGTTGTGAACCCTGTCTGTTGACTTCTAAGTCCATAGTCTTAATCATTCATTAGGCTGCCTCGAGGTGTTGACACCTGTGTGTTGAGTGAATCAGTGGAGGACTGGTAAGTATCATATGTCCTGTGTCCTCCTTTTTCATGGTACAACGTTGTGTTTCTGCAGATTGAGCCGTACATGCCATATGAATTCACATGTGAAGGGATGCTGCAGAGAATCAACGCTTTCATTGAAAAACAGGTAAGGCTCATCAGAAGTCCATCTTTCTTTGTTATGTCTTACTTCCTGTTACCCCAGAGGACTCAGGAAAAATTAAGAGCTGACCATTTTTCTGCGGTTATTTCCCTGCTTTGGAAGACTCCAGAAGCTGGGAATAGTGGCTTGCTGGAATTCTAAAGGCAGCTCTGTCATGATCACCCAAGGGGCAGTCTTTCCTTGGGATAAGTATGTCCTTTATGAGAGTGGGAGGTCACATGGAAACTTACAACAGGAGAGACCGAAGGTCAAGATGGAGACCTCATTGCCTCTCAGGGCCTGTGCCCTGAGTGGGTTCTGAAGGGCATCACAAAGACTTGTGAGGGAAGAGGGACAGACAGACAGCCCTCTGGTCCTGCCTTATCTTCATTTCTCACCCTGAGAAAGGCAAGAACTGAAACCAGTGGTTTCTAAGAATTCCTTTAATAATATACTCATATGCTCAGTAGTTTTAAACATGTCAGGACCTTTTAGTGGTTTTCAAACAGCTTTTAAAACAGGACCCCTTTTCAAATGAAACCTTACCTGAAACCCAGGTATATAAAACAGATAAAAGCAGGACTTCAGTTCCAGAGCAGGGAGGAAGCCAAGAGTCCCACCACTCCCAGCAGGATTTGGAAACTTCTGCTTGTGCTCCTAGAAGTAAAGGCTAAGAGTGTCAGTGCTATCGTTTTATAACATTTTGATTCCTTGGATTTCAAAAGCAACTCAGAGCTAGAAATAGACAGACTGAGAACCCCCAGGGGTAAGAGAATATGAACTCCTTGACCAGATTCCAGAAATAAGGGGCACCTCTTAAAGGGCAAAGCAGAGTGTTTTAGAGTGATGAAGGGATCTTTATACAATAGGAATGAGGCTGTGCAAGCTGAAAATAGAAATGGTGTGTTGAAAATTTAAGTAGCCACAGACCATAGGCCCAAAGTGGATTTCAAAGGAGGAGTTGGTGGTTGGACTTCTCCTGTGGTGAGCAGCCGACAGCCCCAGGTGCTGCTGCTGGGGGCAGGGGAAGGGAGGGGTGTGCTTCAGATTGGCCTGCCAGACAGTCTGCAGCCCAGCCACTGCTGCGCTCCACTCCTAGCACCCTGAGTTTGTGGGTATATGACTTGGGCATGTTGCTCAGCCTGGTCTGCAGCCCAGCCACTGCGCTCCACTCCTAGCACCCTGAGTTTGTGGGTATATGACTTGGGCATGTTGCTCAGCCTCTCTGTGCCTTAGTTTCCTCCTCTGTAAAATAAGGACAATAATAGGACCTACTCTCTGTGCCTTAGTTTCCTCCTCTGTAAAATAAGGACAATAATAGGACCTACTTCATAGGGCTGATAAGGTGCTTAGAACAAGGCTTGGCACAGAGTGCTCAATAAGTGCAGACTAGTACTGTTGATTAATACATTATGCTATATTATATTGGGATATATTACATTGTAATATATTAAATAGTATCATAATTATGTGTATTATAATACTCATCAGACTTTACCGTGAAAGCTAAGCATTTGGATCATGATCTCATTCAGTCTGTATGTGACACTAGAATGACAGTATCATTGTAACTCTAGCAACCATATACACACAGATTCTGCGCCAGTGTGTACAAATGCATCACAGTCTATCATCTCATTTAGTCCTTAGAGTAATCCTAGGAAGTGGCAGTAATAATCGCTCTCTGTGGATAGAGGAAACCAAGACTCACAGTCATGGGGCTCGGAAATCGTAGAGTCAAGATTTGATTCAGGTTTGGCTTGAGGCCTCATCTGCACCAGCAGCAATTGCCGGGGCCTTAGGAGATGGCAGGGGGCCCAGAGCTGTGCTTCCCGCCTTCTTTTACCGCAGAGAACTGCTCACTTACCCTGGAGGTCTAGAGAGGCGCTGCTAAGCTCCTTTGGCAGTGGGTTTTAAGACATCACAGCATTTGCTACCATCTCTGAGGCTCTTGAGGTCTTATCTGGATCTCTGCAGCTTCTTGTGAAACTCTCTTCCTTCTTTCCTATTTCCACTTCCTCTCAGGGAATGCAGTTACTCACTAGCAGGCTTAAATGACTCTTGATCAGGTTTATTTTGAAGGCTTTTATTTCTTTCTTTCCTGAGGCTCATGAATCCCAACCAGTCCTTAAAAGTTCTCAAGTCCTCTGTAAGTCTATTGCTAGGTTTCCTTTCAAACAGGAAGGTCCTTTCCTCCAAATAGACCTTGTTAAATGCTCCATAATGCAGGAGCCACACCTAGCTCTGTATCCCAGGTGCCTAGCATCCTGCCTGACACACAGCGAGTACTCAATAACTTCCAGTTGAAAGAATGAATAAATGAAAGACTGAATGAATGAGTATGCTTTTTATTCATATGTGCCATGAACCAGGAAGCTCATCTTGGACTTGGTGATTTGGAAAACATGCTACTAAAATTGTCTTCCGTTAAACATGCTAATAAAACTATGCCTTCTCCTCACCACCTACGTACAGACTTTTTTGCAAAGATCAGCAGTTCACAGAAATCCAGAGATTTCTTTCTTGCCTGCTGTTATTGATTCATTGGAATATGAGGATACTTCAGAAAGTTCATGGAAAGATCCCCATTATCTTTCAATTCTCTTTTTCCACAAACTTTTTGAAGTACCCTAGTATTTGTCAGCTGGAGTGTGTTGTGGACTGTGCTGGCAGTTAGGGAAGAAAAGAGGTCAAAGGTCCAGTCCTTGCCCTCAGGTAGCTTCAAGTTTCATGCAGAAGGCAGCCACATCAACAGGCACTGGCTCTGCAGGAGGTGAAGCCCTGTAATAGCAACGTAACCAGGATGCTTTAGGGTCACACAGCCCAGCCTGTGTGGGTTCGGGAAGGGGGAGAGATGAGCAGAATCTTGGAAGGCATCTTGCAGGAGGTGAATCCTGAAGGCAAACTGGGAGTAAAGGGAGGGCTGGACAGGTCGAGATGCAAAGGCCTGAAGAGAAAGAGAAATCATGGTGAATTACAGAAATTGTCACTTTGACTAAAGAGTGTGAGGTGAGAGACAGGACTGAAGGAGAAGTCAGGGCATAGACAGATGCTGAGTCTTGGCAAAAGAATGGATTTGATTCTGGGACAACAGGAAGGTGGAGAAAAGTTTTATCACAGAATGAGGGGCAATGGTGCTATGAGATTGGTGTTTTAGAAAAGTCATCCTAGGAATCTTGTGTGTGGGCCATTTCTTATTAAACATTCTCCCTAGTGCTCCTAAACAAGCAATAAAGGGGCCTATTTTAAGTTTATCTCAGGGATTCTATTGAATCCAGAATGTTCCCCTGATGCCAGAGGGAAGATGGAAAGCCAAGACCCCATTGGTTCAAAGATTAGGTCTTCTACCTCTAACTATTAGCTCCAGGCCCAATATTTTAGAGCTTGGGGTATTTGTTATTTTTGCACCTTGAGGAATATCTTCAAAGACCAAGGAGGATGGAGAGAAGGGTGTTTCTGGTATGAGCAGGGAAGCCTGCAGCTCTAATTAGGCTGATCTCAACCTTCAGAGTCTTCTGTGTGATCTGCAAGGGGAACATGGATGCTTTTATCCCAGAAACCTTCCTTGAGGAATATCTTCAAAGACCAAGGAGGATGGAGAGAAGGGTGTTTCTGGTATGAGCAGGGAAGCCTGCAGCTCTAATTAGGCTGATCTCCACCTTCAGAGTCTTCTGTGTGATCTGCAAGGGGAACATGGATGCTTTTATCCCAGAAACCTTTCAAGGTTGTGCATGGCGCTCCCCCAAGGCAGTGGGAGCCAGAAGAAGGCAGTTGAGAGCACCCCAGGCTTCCTTGTACAGTCGAGCAGGCAAAGCAGGAAACCTACCTCCTGCCCAGCCAGCCCAGGGCATGGGCCCCCACTGGGAAAGAATCCTGGCTCTAGGAAAAGCCCTTGCTCTTTTCCCTTAATTCTCGCCCCCCTTTTTAAAACTGTACTAAAAACGTTGATTTGGATTGCCTGCTCTCTTAAATCAGCTGTCTAAGAGAGGCACTGTCTCCAAGAAGGGGGAGTTAGTGCCAAGGCAAAAATCCCTCCTAATCTAAGATCAGGCACTATTGTTCCCTAACTTGAGTGTGTCTGGGCCCGTTAAGGTTTTCATTATGGGTTTCTCGGGAAAGTCTTATGTATCAGCCTCAGGCCACAGAGTAGAGCAGGTTCTTTGGAAGGAATGGCAACGTTCAGACTAATTTCTGAAAACCACACATATGCTTGCCAACCCTGTGTTCTATTTCCTATAAAAACCATATAAATGTAGAGGATGGTTGCAGTCATTAGTTTGTAAAGAGCTGTGTCATTCATGTGAAAAGCATTCTGGAGATATAGAGGGTGAGAAAAAGAGTTAACTCCTGCTGGCTGTGGGATCAGCTAAGCTCCTAGGTTGTCTGCTCATCAGAGCCCATGTTGAACTCACTGGGGAGTGCTCTAGATGCAAGGACCAGCCTGTTAGCAGATCTGGACTGTCCAGGGGTGGGGGAGGTGATGAAGTTGCAGGAAAAGAGGAGAAGGAATCAGAAAGGGAAGAAGGTTGTCATATCTTGGAGGGAATGTTCACTCTTGAAAAGTCACCAGCTGGTGTTAACCTAGCTGTTCCTGCTCCCAGCGAGAACTAAGCATTTAGTGATTAAGCACTGTAACCTGGAGCCTGACTGCCTGGGTTCCCATCCGAGCTCGGCTACCACTGTTCTGACCTTGGCCAAGTTACCTAACCTCTCTGTGCTCTTTGCTCTTCTGTGAAAAGGGGATAATACTACCTACCCCATAGGGTTGGTAGAGGAATCTGTACATTAATTCCGGTTTAGGTCCCTGTAGGCACTCTGAAAGCGAGTGTGTTTTTCAGACAGCTTCATTGAGGTGTAATTTACAGACCATAAAGTTCATTTTATGTAAGGATACAATTCAATGATTTTTTTTTTTAGCAGTTTAGTAGAGTTATGTACCTACCACCACAATCTAGTTTTGCAACATTTCATCACCCCAAAGCTTCGTCGTGCCTGTTTGTAGTTAG